AAAGGATGGAGGGAGGGAAGGAAGGAAGGAAAGGGTGGATGGATGGAGGGAGGGAGGGAGGGATGAAAGAAAGGAAAGGATGGAGGGAGGGAAGGAAGGAAGGAAAAGAAGGAGGGAGGGAAGGAAGGAAGGAAGGAAAGGATGGAGGGAGGGAAGGAAGGAAGGAAGGAAGGGAAGGAAGGGAGGGATGGAGCCTCGCCAAGGGGCGCATTCGGGCGGGAGAAAAAGGAGCCCGACCTGGATTCCTCCCGCGCGCAACTTGCGCAAGGCCACGGGGCGGGGCGGGGCGCGGGGGGGGGGGCGGCGCTCGGCGGCCAGCAGGGGGCGCAGGCGAGGCGGCTGCCTGGTCCATCTCCTGCAGCATCCGCGGCCGATGCGCCTTCGGGAGTCGGAACCGCTTCCCGGTCGGGCAAGGCCGGGCTGGGGCGCATGGCGAGCCGGGCGCGGGGGCGGGCCACGGCGGGCCAAGGCGCGTTCCGGGCGGCAGGAGCCGCTCCAGTCCAGGCGCGCCGGGGGTGGGGCCGCGGCTGCCCAGCCCAACCGGGCCCGGAGCCTAGCGACGCCGGAGCTTCGCCCAGGTAAGGGTCACCTTGAGGCGCCGTGACGGGGAGGCGGGAGGAGATTTGGCCCGGAGAGGCCCGCGCTGAGCAGCCCGGCAAGCCGTCCCGACGCGCGGAGCCTCCGAGGGCAGCCGGAACGGGGCAGGAGCGCTCCGGGATTCCTGCAGGGATGCGCGGGAGGAGGGCCCGGATGGGACTGCGCTGGGCAGGTGAATAGAGGAGCAGCTCCGCTGGCCTAGTGACTGGAGCTCTCCCCTCACCATCGGGAGGCTGTGCGAGTTCGATCCCAGGCAGGTCTCCTGCTCGAGCAGGGGGTTGGACTGGATGACCTCCAAGGTCCCCTTCAACTGTGATTCTGTGAGCGAGCATCCCTGCGCGGAGAAAGCTCAGGTGTAAAGGGAAAAGCCCTTTTTCTTCCCCTCCTCCTCCTTCCCTGATGAGGTTACTTAGTAGGGCGATGAAATGTCTGCAAGTTCATTGAGCACCAAGGACCGTCCTGCTCCTCCTGTATGATGATGACGTTACCTAGTTGGGTGATGAAACGCCTGCAAGAAAACTGACAAGCTTAGAAAGTATCAAAGACCAGTTCTCCTCCTCCTCCTCCTCCTTCACCTCCTCCACACACCCCACTCCCTTCTGGTAGCACTGATGACATTACCTAGTTGGGTGAAGAAACGCCTGCAAGAAAATTGACAAGCTTAGAGAGTATCAAAGACACCACAGTTTTCATCCTATGTATATAAAAATCCTATATATATATATAAAATCTCAAGCTTTTTACTGAAGAAAATGGCACCCATCTAGCTTTCTGGGGAAGGGAGTTTCCCCCCCCCCAATTTGTCCGCCTATTTGTCCTTGTTTTTATTATTATCCTGTACCGCCTGCCAGGTGGTAATAGTTCAAAAAAAAAAAAAAGGGTTCCCAGGATGAGATGGATCTTTGCGGATGTTTCAAACTTTCTTAAGGCAGCGGGAGCGATAAAGCTCTTCCAAAAAGGGGAGAGGGCAACCCAGGATCCTCTGAGGGGCAATGACGTTCACCCTCTGGAGCGCCGTCCTCTCTGCCCCTGTGAAATTGGCAAACCCTACACAGATGTGCAGTAAGTTAAGATGCTCTCTCTGGTGCAGCGGTAGAAGGTCAGCAGCAGTTTCCTTTCCAGTTGTTTTTCATCCAGTTAGGAGAGGGACAGTAGGCACATTGGTGTGCTTATGCACGCCCCTTCGTTGTGGTTTCCTCCTGGGTCCTGCCTTTTGCGAAGCTGACTTATGGGCATAAGCTGGTCAGTGAGTCACTCAGCCCTTTCTGGCAGCTGTTTGTGTCGATGGAAACAAAATCAGCTCCATCTCTTCATTTGGCTGATCGTTTCATTCCCCGCCATCCCTTCTCAAAATGGGATGAGCTCGCCTTAGTCCCACTTTGAAAGTGCTTCTCTAGAGTTTGGGTTTCCTGGCTGGGTTCGGACGTGTCGTTCCCACCCGTCCTCGCTTGTCCCTCTCCATGGAGAGCTGAGGTCCTTTGGAAGGGAGAGCCTGAGCCTCTCCTCTCTTGCACCCGGGACAGGAGGACCCTCAAGCAGGAGGCAGAGGGTAGGTGGGTAGGTGGGTGGGTCTCCGCCCAGTGGGATTTTAGCAGCCCAGCCCATGGGGAGGTTGGGCCTTCCAGGAGCTGCAAGCAAAGGGGGCCGTCCTGGGCTGTCCTGAAGCGCCCGGGGAAAATTCGGTCTCTCGCCACCTGGAACGGCCGGGTGGCTTCCCCAGTGGATCCCAAAACAAAACAAGACATTTCATTGACGATCTAACCGGATTCCAGGTCAGCCGTAAAATCCAATCCCCCTGAAGATCGGAATGGAGGCAGTCAGGCCTTCAGAATGAATGGATTCGATCGAATCGGGTTTATCTTTGACAATTTCACTCCGTGGCTTCCCGGACCTGGAAATAGGTTAAACGAACATCTTGTCAATAACATTGATGATGAAAGAGACGTAGCTGAGTCTTGGCTCAAAGGCAAGGCTTCTTCAGTTGGATATTAAAAGTTTAATTACGGATTAACAGAGGTGGAAGGGGCCTTGTAGGTCATCTAGTCCAACCCCCCACCCACCCAAGCATTGAGCATCTCCGAGGATGCTTTGATTACAGATTAACAGAGTTGGGAGGGACCTTGTAGGTCATCTAGTCCAACCCTCCGCCCAAGCAGGAGTGCAGGGAGATCCTGTTGTGCGGCTTCTCCTTGCAACAAGCTAAGCATGGATGGTGACATGGCATTTGCTGGGTTTCTAGGACGACTGGGAGTTTAGGAACATCTTAACTCAGATTTTCCTTGCCCTTCCCATCCGCATTTATTTTATTTTATTGATGTATTTCCGCAGCCGCAAGCCTTCGATGAGCTGGCCTGGCCAGACCCAACTTCCATCCATCTGGCACTGGCACAGGATTGGCCTCAGGGAGTAGATGGTGTCGTCCTCTCTCGGATCCACTCCCCAGTTACCCGAAGGTGGAGCTTTCTGCCGGCCTCAACTTGGCGATGTCGCTTCCTCTCTGCTAGGATCTCCAGCACGTGGACGGAGCCCAAGCCGGCCGGCTGCAGGAGGGAGCAGTGGGCCCTGGGCGTGCCAAGGAGGCTGGAAGCCAACCCAGCTGCAGCCCTGGGGTGGAGGCTTCTTTCGTGCCCTTTTCCAAAGGGCCTCCTTGCCCGAGCTGAATGAGGACGTCTCCAGCTACGCCGGCCCCGTGAGAAGAAGGGAGGCAAGTTTTGTTTTCCCCAGTTTCCAAATATCCTGGGAGTTGCCAGCCCGTTTCTAGACGGGACCACGGGAGAAGACCGCAAACACAAGGAGAGGAAATCTGATCCCGGTGACTCACAGGGAGGGACGGAGAGGAGGAGGAGGAGGAGGCAGCAAAAGGAAAGAAGGCGAAAGGGGAGGAGAAGAATGTAAAAGGAGAGAAGGAGGAGGCGAAAGGAGAGAAGAAGAAGTAAAAGAGGAGAAGAAGACAAAAGGAGAGAAGGAGGCGAAAGGAGAGAAGAAGGAGGCGAAAGGAGAGAAGGAGGCAAAAGGAGAGAAGAAGTAGTGAAAGAGGGAAAGAAGACAAAAGGAGAGAAGGAGGTGAAAGGAGAGGAGAAGAAGAAGGAGGGATAGCTAGAAGAAGCCTCCTTGAGTAGACAAGGGTGCTCCAGACCAGCGGAGATCCTCGCTGGGCTCTCCAGACTCCGTCCCGGTTGCAATTAAACTCCGTTCCGCCCGTGCCAGCTCACCGTCCCCAATGTGCCTGCCGGCGGGGAAGCAACACGATGCCGTGATGAGCTCGACCGCCGAAGCCTGGCCAGCCCCACCCTGGAAGCAGGATGCCGGGCAGCGCTGGGGGCTGAGGCTGTTTTCCCGGTGGCGCCACGCCCTGCCCCTGGTGGCCACCGTCCTGACGTGGCTAGCCACGGGCTCCACCATGTCCGGCCTGAACAAGTGGATCTTTGCCGTCCACAATTTCCGCTACCCGGTGCTGCTCTCTTCCTTCCACATGCTGACGGCCGTGGTGGTGGGCAGGCCCCTCGCCAGGCTCCGTCCAGGAGGCTCCGTCCCATCCTCGTCCCTCCACCCCAAAGCCCAACTCCGGGTTTTCCTGCTCAGCCTGACCTTCTGCGCCAGCGTGGCGTTCGGCAACCTGGGCCTCAACCACGTCCAGCTGGACTTTGCCCAGATGGTCTACACCACCACGCCGCTCTTCACCTTGGCCCTCTCGGAGCTGCTGCTGCGGAAGCGCCACCACCCCCTGCAGTACGCCGCCATGGGCCCCATTTGCCTGG